CCCTCTAACCTCTGGAATGAGTTAGGGTGAAAGCTGGGCTAGTTAAAGCCATCCTTATGACTTTGTCTTTGTTTTGTTTTTCAAGGCAGGGTTTCTCTGTGTAGCTCTGGCTGTCCTGGAACTCACTCTGTAGAACAAGCTGGCCTCAAATTCAGAGATCCACCTACCTGTCTCCCAAGTGCTGGGATTAAAGGTGTGTGCCACTACCACCTGACCAATCCTTATGATATTTTTTACCAAAGCCTAGTGAGATTGAGGACTGAATAGCTAGGACTCCAAAGTTACCATTAATCATAATTCTCATCAGAACAAATTGATCCATTAGTAAATATTTACAAAGTTCTTACTACATGTTAGAAATTACCTTTGGTGCAGGAAATACAAATATAAACAAAACAGGTACTTCCTTACCCACAACACAGTTTCAGAGAAAGACAGGTAATGAGCATATACATAAACAAAAATGATTTCAGGCACTAAAAAGTACTCTGAAGATTACGGGAACAGGAAGTTAACAGGCATGGGAATTAGGCAGGAAAAGTTGCTTCTAAACAATGATGCTCAGATAAGGCATCTCTGAGGTGATAATGGAGAGAGAGCCTCAAAATCCAAAGAAAGGGACCAGCAAAGATCAAGAGCCTCCCAAGCCAAAACAGCGTGTAGAAGTTCCTGAGAACAGAACAGAATCTAAGAGACAAAAGGAAGGTCATGAGACTGGAGGAGGAGAACGAGAGGACATCAAGTTGGGAAGTAGCCGGGACAGATCACATAGGCCTGAATTACACTCTGGCTCCGATGAAAAGCTGATGGAGGGCCCAAGCTGCAGAGTAAATGATCTGAATCAGAAAGATCATACCAGCTGTCATGGGGCAGACACTAGAGAACAAGAACAGAAACAGAGAAGGTGAAATTTCTAGACTTCTCTACACTGCTGGCAGGAGTGCAGGGCACCTGGGCTATTCCCATTACAGTCACCCTGTGACTAGCCATACCCAGCCGTATACCCAACAGACATAATACTCACATGCCTTATAGCACATGCACAGGAATACTCACAGCAATGTCACATGTACTAGCTCCAAACTGGAAACAACCAATACGGCCCACTAGCAATAAAACACACAACAAACTGTTGTGATGGAAAAACACAACTCACAAAAGAACCACAGAATATAAGTTGAGGAAAAAGAGGCAGAAATTCAAACTACATACTACAGAACTCAGTTTGCAAGAAATCAAAACCAGACAAAACCAAACTATAGTATGAAATGGGACAGGGTATGGCACAGGTCTACAATGTGCTACAACCAGGAAGTACATGAAAGGCATTTCTGGGTTCCAAAAAAACATTCTTTTTGATCTCAGAAATAGCTACCTGAGTGAGGTCACTATAAAAATTCACTAGACAGGGCAGTGGTGGCACACACCTTTAATCCCAGCACTTGGGAGGCAGAGGCAGGCGGATCTTTGTGAGTTGAGGACAGCCTGGTCTATACAGATAGTTCCAGGATAGCCTGGACTACACAGTGAAACTCTGTCTCGGAGGGTTGTGGGGAGGATGGACACAGGCCAACACAACAATACCTTATTTTATTTTATTTTATTTTATTTTATTTGAGCCAGTATTCCACTTTGTGAAATAGCCCAGGATGGCTTGGAACTCACTATGTCCAGGTTAGCCTTGAATTTGTGGCTATCTATAGCAGGCTTTCTTGGACCACCAGTCCTCAAATCATGACACGGAGACTTAGTAATTATGAATGCTCAACCTTAGCTTAGGCTTGTTTCTAGCTGGTTTTTTTTTTTTTTAAACTTAAATTAACCCATTTCTTTTCATCTATGTGCTACCCCAAGGCTCATTTACCTCATCTACATACTGTTCATCCTGCTTTCCTGCTTCTTCTGTGCCTGCCTGGCTGGCCCCCAGCTAGCTGGCTAGCTAGCTGGCTCCCCTTTTCTCTCTGCCCCCTAGCCGTACCTATCCCTCCTCTGTCTAGCTGTTGACCATTCAGATTTTTATTAGGCCAACCAGGTGCTTCAGGCAGGCAGGATGAAACAGCAACACATCTTTACATGTTTAAAAAATGCAACACATTTTTACATCATTATACAAATATTCTACTCTACAACAGCTATCCTCCTGCCTCAGGCTCCTAAGAGTTAGAATTGCAGGTATGAGTCATTAATCTGGCTACCTTTTTGCTTTGAGTTAAGCCATTCTCAATTATGTGCAGTTAAGTTCTGTGTTTTTTGAAGTATACATTTTTTTTTTTTTTTTTAATTTTTTCGAGACAGGGTTTCTCTGTGTAGCTTTGCGCCTTTCCTGGAACTCGCTTTGTAGACCAGGCTGGCCTCGAACTCACAGAGATCCACCTGCCTCTGCCTCCCGAGTGCTGGGATTAAAGGCGTGCGCCACCACCGCCCGGCCTGAAGTATACATTTTCTACCTTGTTTCTACTAAGAATAATATTGTTTTCTTTTGATGGGGGAGGAAGAAAGTCTCTCCATGAAGTTCTAGCTGGCTTGCCTAAAACAGGAGCTTGTGAACCGCCTGGAGTAGGTGCTGGGAAAGGAACTTGGAGCCTCTGGAAGAGGAGGACGTGCTCTTAACTGATAACCATCTCTCCAGGTATTCTCTATTTGTCTATATGGCACCATATTAAATTAAGAGAGAATGTTGACATAATTACCCCAAAATTCCTTTTAGTTTATAGGACTTAACTCTTTAACAAATCAGGTAATTCAAAACTGTAGGTAAGCCAGGCTTGGTGATACACATCTTTTCCCCAATGCTCAGAAGGAAGATAGACCTCTCTTGAGTTCCAGGTAGGCCTAGTCTACATAGTGAGTTTCAGGCCAGCCATAGATACACAGACCCTGTCTCAAAAAAGAATTATACTATCATAACATGGGAACTTTGACAAGATGGGAACTTTCATTTTTGGTTTGATGACAATTTTTTTACTTTGTCTTATCTGTTCATTGTGAACAACTGCACAAATAATATGGATATATGCACACTTTGTACATGAATATGTGGAGGCCAGAGATCAATCTTGGGTGTCATTACACAAGAGCTGTTCACCTTGTTTTTGAGAGGATGTCTCACTGGGACCTGGGCTTACCAACTAGGCTGGCTCAGCTGGACAGTAAACCACAAGGACCCTTCTATCTCCTCCCCAGTGCTGTGATTAAAGTCATGTGCCAGAAGCTGGGTGAGGTGGCACAGCCTTTAATCCCAGCACTCAGAAAGCTGAGATAGCCATATCTCTGTAAATTCAAGGTCAGCTTGGTCTACATAGTGGGCTCCAGGCCAGAGCTACAAGGTGAAAACCCTGTCTCCGAAAACAAAAATAACAACAAGAGTCATCTGCCAGAGCAGCACTTACTTACCTTTACCTCAGCTCTTAGAATGAGGGGAAATGGTGGGGACAGAGGCAGGCAGAGCTCTGTGAATTAGAGGCCAGTCTTATCTACATAGTGAGTTCCAGCACAGTTAGGGATACACAGAGAAAACCTGTCTCCAAAAGATAAATTAAAGGGTGCACACTTTTAATCCTGGGACTCCAGAGGCAGAGACAGATAGATCTCTGTGTTCGAGGCCAGCCTAGTCTACAGAGCTAGTTCCAGGACAGCCAGGGATAGACAAAGAAACCCTGTCTTCAGAGGGGGAACAAAATTACAACCTGATCACCAACCTAATTCCTTTTTATCAAGTGACCCATAGTTACAGTGGGAAGAAATTAAGAGGCAATATGAGAAGGCAACTGTTAGATCTCAGGCAATCCAAATATCCAGAAATGAGCTCAAACTGAATTATAAGAGGATTTCCAGCAGTTAGATAAAAGGCTGTTTTCCTCGGCAACTTGGGAAACCAATTCCCATCTGCCAAAAGGAGTCATTTCCCTTACCTCTGGCAGAAGGGACATATGGCTACCTGTGGTTTCATACCAAAGCCCATGCCAGCCTCCAGGCTCACGCAGAATCTACTCACAAGTACTAGTAATACATTTCAAAGTCCACACTAGCACCCTGGCCCTTCTCATTTCAGGTCCCTGCTCTCTTTATGCCCCTGCCCCTGGCTATGCTTGATATTTTCACTATTTATTCCCCTTCTGCCTATTCTCTCATCTCCCACCAATAGATAGCCCTGGCCAGGTCCAGCCTGTTTTTCTTTCTCCCTGCTCTGGACTCTTGCAGATGCCTCTGGATACTTCCTCTCTCTTACTCACAATAAAAACTTTCCCTAATAATGGAGCAGTCACGTCAGCAGTTTATTTACTGCACCCCCTTGCATATAGCAACTAAATCTAAAGTTACATTGCTATCTTAAAAAATAATCTTGGGCACTGTCAGCAATTAAGAGCACACACTGTGGGAATTGGAGAGATGGCTCAGCAGACAAGAGCAATGGCTGCTCTTCCAGAGGACCTGGTTTCAATTCCCAGGACCCACATGGAAGCTCACATTGTCTGTAACTCCAGTCCCAGGAGAAATCCAATGCCCTCTTATGGCCTCCACAGGCTCCAGACACACACATGGTGGGTAGATATACATACAAGCAAAACATCCATATACATAAAATAAATGAATAAATTTAGAGGGGAAAAAAAGGGGGGTGCATATTGTTCTTCCTGAGGACTTGAATTCAGTTCCTAGCATCCACATTGGGTAACTCACAATAACTTGTAACTCTAGCTCCAGGAAAATCTGCAACTTCTGGCCTCTGCAAGTACCTGCATTCACATGCACAGACATACACATACACACAACTAAAAATAGTAAAATAGGGTCTGAGAGATGGCTCAGTAGTTAAGAGAACTTGCTGCTCTTCCAGAGGGCCTAACCCACATTAGAAATTCCCAACTTTATTTAAGAAGAGCATTTCTTGGTCCAATGTCAGGGAATGTAAAGGAGACTATGAGGCCTCCAGCCAGTATATCAGTTGTCTTCTGAGGTTTTGTCAGATGGACAGAAGAAGGAAACTGAAGACACCTTACCTTCACCAGCACATAGTCCCCAGGCTGAGCTCTGACCTTGAGCCCAGAGTTAGTGACATCCTCCACCTCTGCATCAGGGAAGATCACTTTGAGGTTTGCATCATTCCGGCCACACAGGTCTGTGGAAGAACGTTTGCTGAACTGCAAAAAACAGAGAAGAATGTATGCATCTGTCAGTGTTAAGTTTTAGGAGGCAGACACTGCCCCTGTTGTCTGAGGCTCTCCAGGATCTATCACAGAACATTTCTTAACCAAGAAATCCAAAGTCTCAGTGTGTGTGGCTGCTTCAACAACAGGACAACACATGGTACACAACAGAAACAAAGTTCTGTTGACTATTTTAATGGACCAATGAATCTTTACAGTCTTGGCTTCTGCAGTAACTTTCAATAAGCATGAAGTCCAAGTACTTGTGAGTGATGTGCTTAACAAATCAACGTTCATGTTTCCTGATCTCACACTAAGCACTTAGGACTGTCCCAGAGGTTTTGGCTTGAGTTACTTGCTCCTACTGAATATGCCAATTTGAAGCTAGAGACTCCACCAGAGCCTGGGACTGGAAAGAAAGATAAACCACAATAAGAGTATTAAGTTCTGGAATATACATGAGTCTTTCTATTCCTGCCGAGATGCAGTGACAGGAACCAAATTTATCCTCTGCCCTAAAATCAGAAAATAAGACAAAATACCAGAAACAACTTGAAGGGAAAAGGGGCTGACTAAAGAAACCCACCCTGACCCTGGATCCCAGAACTAGGGAAAGATGACTCAGATAAGGCCAGTGAAAGAAGCACAGTTTGGCTCAAATCAGAGCCATCTCTGCCCCTGGCCAACTGACTTGTGAAACCAACCAATCACAGAGCAGGACAGTAGAATTCTGGCCCTAGGGCCCAGGACCAGGAAAAGAAACACAGCCTGGGTTTGGGACCTGAGCCAGAGAAATGAACACTTTTTTTTTTTTTTTTAAAGATTTTTATTATTTTTTTTAATTTTTTTTTAATTCATTTATTTATTATGTATACAGCATATGTGACTGCAGGCCAGAAGAGGGCACCAGATCTCATTCAAGGTGGTTGTGAGCCACCATGTGGTTGCTGGGAATTGAACTCAGGACCTCTGGAAGAGCAGTCAGTGCTCTTAACCTCTGAGCCATCTCTCCAGCCCGAGAAATGAACACTTTATCCCCAAAACCAGAACCAAGGAAATATGCCCTGACTCTGAAACTAGTGCCAAAATAACACTCCTGGTCCCCAGCATCAGAGTCAGTGAAAGAAATATGCCCTGGCCTTAGAGGTAGTGTCAAAAAGCCAAGAAAGGCCAATGAAAGAAACACAGTTTGGCCCTAAAATCAGGGCCATCTCTGTCCCTAACCCACAAAACTGGCTAATCCCTGGGCAGAAAAAAAAACTAACCAATCACGGGCTGACTCCGCCCCAGGACATCCTATATAAACCACCCTGCCTGGTCAGTTGTAGGCTGTTCTCTCCACCCTGGTAGAGGCAGATATTCTCCTGGACTCCTCCTTCCTGAATAAATCTCTTTCTCAAAAGAGTTTTGGGTGTGAAGATCTTCATTCCCTGGTACATAGAAGAACCTAACTGAGATGTCCCATAGTGGACTGAGCAAGGGGGAGCTGAATAGAAGAACCTTGCTGAGACGTCCCTCAGTGGACAGAGCAAGAGAAATAACACTTTTCTCCTGAGCCTGAGGAGATTTGCTACATTTTTGCAATTTCTTAGGCCGGAGAAGCACAGCTCTGCTAGGAAGCCCCCTTAAGTGGGGGCTGAACAAAGCTCAGCTGTAGAGGCTCTCTAGGAGAGAAGCAGGATTGCTATATCCTGCAGGGAGATGATCCCCCATCACACCAGGTATTGCCTGACTCTCCAGTCAGGATAACCTTCCCTGCTGAAGCAGTTCCAGACCTGACTTTCCCAAAAAGTCAGAAAAACTTCCCCTCCAGGGTTGGGCTGCCTCTTTGCAGCTCCAGCCACCAGAGTTGTCCTAAGCAGCTCAAGGTGTTACCTGAGCAGGAAGTAGACTCTCACGAGAACTGGACTGGGCTCATCTCTGACTTCTAGCCACAAAATTAGAAGAAATAATTTCTATTATTTAATCCAAAAAAAAGGAAAGGGAAGGAGTCAGGAAGGGAACAGATGGAAAGAAGAATGGAGAGGAGATGAAGAAAGGGAAGTGGGGAAGGAAAGGAGAGAGAAAGGGGAAAAAAAGGGAAAGAAAAACAGAAAGGTCAATAAACCTTGATGGCAACAGAAAGAGATGTATTTCCTAAGAAGATAAAATTTCCAATAAAAATATCTATGATTTCTCGTCAGAAACATGAAGGCCAGCAGGAAATGGCACGTTTTTCAAGACCTGAAAGGAAAGCATTATCAACTCAGCATACAAGTTCCAGCAAAACTATCCCTTGGGGGCTGGAGAGATAGCTTAGCAGGTTGGAGCAATCGCTGCTCTACCATAAGGACCACAGTCCAGACCCGAGGGCACACTCAAGAAAGACTCACATACATCTGTAACTCCAGCTCCAAAAGATCTGACACCCTCTTCTGACCTCCTTGAGAACTAAAATATACACAAATGCACACACACACACACACACACACACACACACACACACACACACACACACACACACAAATATATAAATCCTTAAAGAAAATATCCTTTGAGAAAGAAGCAGAAATGAAGACAACCCAAAATTAAGAAAATTTAAGAAAATCTATCACTAGAATATCCACAGGAAGTTCTCTAAATATAAAATACTTGGTACATTAGGAAGAAAGAAAAAAATATGGAATGGTTATATACATAGAAAATTCAAAACAACAGCAGGGTAATCATGGCACATGACTTTAATCCTAGCACTTGCAAGGCAGAGGCAGCAGATCTCCGAGTTCAAGGCCAGCCTGGTCTATAGAGTAAGTTCTAGGACAGCCAGGATTACTTAGAGAAACGCTGTCTCGAAAAAAGAAAAGAAAATTCAAAACACTAACAAGAAAATAAACCATCAAATTCAGCAAGGTCATAATATGCAAGATAAAAGTAAACATTTTGGGCTGGGGATTGTATAGTGTTTGTCTAGCATGCAGGGGGCCCTGGGTTTGATACATCACCACATAACCTGGGCACGATGGTGCACTCCTATAATCCCAGTGCTTAGGAAGATACAGGCAGGAGGCTCAGAAATTCAAAGTCACCCTTGGCTACATAGCAAGTTCAAGGTCAACCTACATGAGACTAGGTCTCAAAAAAAAAGTCATGTAAGACCTAGATAAAGAAAACACACAGTGTTATTTTAAAAGGCAAAAACTAAAACTCTAAGAAAAAGATGCATGTGACCTTACCCCCTCAACCAGCACCAGCTGGGTGCAGCCCACTGAGGTCTGATTGGCTTTTGAAGCCTCTTCTCTGAAGACAGTAATAAGTTCCTCCAGACGTCTTAATTTTACTTCTTCTGGAACATCATCCTTCAGCCTATGATATGCTCGTGTCTTCTATTAACAAACAAAACAGAACAGAGTTACTAACGAGTTGTAGAATCTTCAGGGCACAAGGAGGGAATATATTCATTCCACTCACAAGTTACATATGTAACATGGTCCAAAACCCACACCTGAGCCAGACTTATTTCTCTAGTTCTAGGAACATTCCATGAGAAAATGGTAACTGAAGTAGAATCTTTGTAGAGGCATTCTAAATTTAGCAAATGCAAACCATACTCATGGCTGGCAGGATAGGTCAGTGGCAAAGGTGCCTGCCACCAAGCCTGATGACCTGAATTCAATCCTAGAACCCACATAGTGGAAGGAAAGACCCAACTCCAGCAAGTGGTCCTTTAACCTACACACACACTGCAGCACATGCACGCCCCTACCAACATGTACACACAAAATAAATGAGTTTATAAATAAATACATTTTTAAAAGAAAATAAGACTCAAATTAGTCTTCATATTTGTCCTAAGTTTATATTTGGGCACAAACTAAATAATCCATGCACTAAGCTATTCACCACACTGTTTATAGAGACACAGATGTAAAGCAGCTGAAATACTCACCAACTAGTACCCAGTAAATTATGGTTTATCAACAAAATGAAATATTAAGCAACTGTTAATAAGATAGCTCCACAAATACTAATGTAATTGTTCTAAAATACTCTGCAAACTGAAATTAGCAAAATCCAATCAGCGTGCATGTCTTTGAGGTAGAAAGTATTCATGTTTATAAACACATGAAATATATCCAGAAGGTGAAGAAGAAATCACTAAGAGTCGCCGCCTTCAAGAAGGGAACTAACCTGGGAGCAACAAAAGGAGGAGGTGTTTCATTTGTTTGTTTGGTTTCGAGACAGGGTTTCTCTGTGTAGCTTTCACCTTTCCTGGGACTCACTCTGTAGCCCAGGCTGGCCTCGAACTCACCGAGATCCGCCTGGCTCTGCCTCCCGAGTGCTGGGATTAAAGGCGTGCGCCACCACTGCCCAGCTAGGAAGAAGTGTTTTAACCTTCACACTTTATACCATAAGCACTAGGCCATATTACCTAGTCAGAAACGATAATCATCCTCAAAAAGTATCTAAAAACTATCCTGGGTATACACTTACATGTCTTTATGCTCATGCTCAAATCAGGTGAAGAACCACTGAGCTAGGAAAAAAGCCAAGGAATAAAAGGAAAAGCTAAAGACATTCGAACCAACCTGCCCTGAAAGAACTACCATACCCACAGAGGAAAACTGAACGGGGAATGGGTATAGATCCTGCTTGATGCTGGCCTGCTGTTAGCAATGATAACTATCCTGATAGCACACTTATGTGTAGAAAGCACCACTCCAAGTTATATACACCATCTTAACAGGCCTCAAAACAGCCCTGAGCTGGTGTCGTTCTCACTTCACACAGCAACCAAGGACTTTAGACAAGGTCACTGTTACTACATGACAAAGGCACAATTTGAGGGCCATATTTCCACTGTGTGTTGAAAGGCCATTTATACTGACTATAGAACACTGAGCACTGGGCTTTAGTTTTGTCTTGATTTACTTATTTGTTTGTTTGTTTTTGTTTTTGAGACCGTCTCAGTCTATAGCCCAGGCTGGTTTCAAACTTGAAATTCCCCTGCCTCAGCCTCCTAAGTGCTAGAATTACAGGCATATATCACCAAACTCAGCTACTGTAAAATATTCATAAATAGGAACACTAGCATGGTAGTATTTTTCGTATCAAATTGCTGAAGTTTGCTTATTGTGGTGGCTAACATCTATAACGGTAATGATCAGGCAGCTCAGTGAAGTAGAAGGAAAACAGGCTTGAGGCTAGCCGGAGCTTTATATTAAGACCTTATCTCAAAACAAGGGCTAAAATTTGACATAACATATAAAATTAACTACAGAAAAGAAAACAATTGACAGTAAGATTCTGTGACTTAGATGGCTGTGGTGACACACACCTTCAATCCCAGCAATCAGGAGCAGAAGTAAGCGCTGAGACCCTGTCTCAAAACAAAAAACAAACAAACAACAACAACAAAGAAAAACCCACAAAGATCTTGGGATTTCACTGTGGTGATATATTGTGTATCAAATAAAGGTTGCCTAAGGATCAGAGAACAGAGCCAGTCACTAGATTAAGCATAGAAGCCAGGCGATGGTGGCACACACCTTTAATCCTAGCACTCAGGAGGCAGAGATCCATCTGAATCTCTGAGTTTAGAGCCACCCTGGACTACATGAGATTGATTCAGTCTAGGAGAAAAACAGAACCAGGCATTGATGACACACACCTTTAATCCCAGTACTTTGGAGTCACACGCCTTTAATCCCAGCACTTGAGATCTCAAGCCTTTGCTACCAGTATTTGGGAAGCACACACGCCATTAATCCCAGCACTGAAAAGGAAGTGAAATGGCTGAGCGGAGAAAGGTATATAAGGCCTGAGGAGACAGGAACTAGAAGCCCTTTCAGCTGAGGACTCAGAGGCTTTCAGTCAGAGGATTCGTGGAGATAGGACCTCGACTTCCATTCGGCCTGAGGATTCGGTAGTGGTGAGAAGTTTCTCTAGTGGCTTGTTCCTTTGTCTCTCTGATCTCTCAGTATTTACCCCAATATCTGGCTCCAGGTTTTTTTTATAAGACTTTAGGAATTTCACAACATTTGCAACATTTCACAAAGTCAAACTCTTTTCTACCCAACTACCTCCAGTCAGTCCCGAGCTGGTAAGAGAGCGATGCTAATTGTCTCCCATCTGGGACTCACCTGCCTCATGCTGTATGCGAAGAGAAAACCAGTATTATACTGAACTTCTTGAAGTAAAGACACTGTCTGCAGGTGATCATCCTCTGTCTCTCCACAGAAGCCAGTGATGAAGTCACTGCTGAGGCTCACACCTGTCAACAGACAGCAAAGGATGGAGGACCAGTGCTTAGAGTACTGCTACTGCCTACCTCAGAAGGAATGTGGGCATTTGTAGATTACAGAAGGGAGGAAAGCAAATGGGACGCATTTCCAGACTACTCAGAAGTCATTACAGAACAAGGGGAAAGAGGCTTGCTTTTCCACATCCTGCCGGAACTGGCTTCTCACTCTACATTTCCTCAAGTACTAGAAAACAAATCTTGGCTTCAAATGCTGGATTCAGAGATACTGCAGAAGTGCAGTTTCAAATCGGCCCTGCTTTTGCAGGGGAGGGGTGGGAGACAGTGCTAAAGACTGAAGCCAGAGCCTATATGTGCTAGACAAGCACTCTACCACCAACATTCCAGCTCCCAGGTCCTGCTTTCACTAGTCAATCTTTCGGTGCTTCACACAAACATACATCTCTGTATCTTATTTTGCTGCTACTGTTCGGAGATAGGGGATTGTTTGTCTACTGTGCTAAGGAACAGAACCTAGGGCCCTGAACACTCTACCTCAAAGCTAGACCGTATCTATGCATTTTAATTAATTCATAACTGTGCATATGTATATATGATCAAACATTGAATTTAATTTAGCATTATGCTCATTTACAATGCAGTAGCAAAAACTATTGGATACTGAATACTTAGAAAGTGCTGTATGTCACTAGCTATTCAATTGCCCTCAAAAATCAGATGACACGAGCTCCATTTACTCTATTTCATAAATGACAAATCTTTGTTGTCACACAGCCAATAACACAGGACTCCATACAAAGCCAGTACACCCAGCTGCCACATCATCCTACCCTATCAAAACACAAGTATGTGTGCATAATACAAGAAGCATGGTGGCACACACCTTTAATCTCAGCACTCAGGAAACAGAGGCAGGTGGATCTCTGTGAGTTCGAGATCAGCTTAGTCTAGTAAGCTCTAGGCTCAAAAAGAAAAAAATAAAATAAAATTTGAGAGAAATTTAAGACAACATTATCAATCAAATCTAAGCAAAACAAAACAAAAACAGTAATTTTTTTAGGAGGAAGGGGAAAGGAAAGGGATATAATGGGATATCTAAAATCTGCCTACTTATAGTCGAATACGTGGTAGTGCATGTTTATAATCCCAGCAATAGCAATGAAGATGGAAGATCAAGTTCAAGGCCACCCTGAGCAACATAACAAGAGACTGTGTCAAAATTCAAGTGCTAGAGATGCAGTTCAGTGGCAGAGCATACGCCCATAAGACATGAGGCTTGGATTCCATCTCTTGCAATACACACACAGTCAGAAAGATGGAAAAGAAAGTGGAACAGAGAGAGGAAAATAGCGAAGCAGAAAATGAACATAAAAGTAGCAAAAACTATGAAATGTCACCATAAGGAATTTGCCAAAGAGGTTAGTAATTGAGCAAGATGAATGTGGACTGTGGTAAGGTGCTCAATGTTTCTTAAAAGTACCTGGGATACATTCTCTGATATGATGAACCAACGCCACATAAGCTTCCCTTGAGTATCTACAGTAAAGAACAAGAAGAAAAGACCTAGATAAAATACTCATTTTTTTTTGTGGGGGCGGGGCAGGGTCTCATGCAGCTGAAGTTACCCTTAACTTCTGTTCCACTTGGCTCTACCTCCCAAGTGCTGGGCTCACAGGGGTACACCACCATACCTGACTCAATCTTATTTAAATGAACGCTATCGAGAGATAATAATGAATTCCCACGTGTTCATTTTTCGATTTGTGATTTCACAACCACAAATCAGGGAAGCACCCCTTTGGGCCAGTGAGATGTTCCAGCAAGTGGATACTTGCTAACAAACCTGATGACTTCAGTTCAATCCCTGGAACCTACGTGGTAGAAGAAAACACCAACTCCTGACAACTGTCCTCGGATTTCCATATACACACATGCTCCAGCTCCTAAGGACCTTTCATTTAACAAATCAAGAAGAAATTAAACACTTAAAAGGACCTCTCGGGGCTGGAGAGATGGCTCAATGGTTAAGAGCACTGGCTGCTATTGCAGAGGACCCAAGTTCAGTTCCCAGCACCCACATGGCACCTCACAATCATCTGCCACTCAAGTTTCAGGGGATCTGCTGCCTTCTTCTGGCCTCCATGAGCAATGCATGCACAAGATACAGACATACATGCAGGCAAAACACCCATACACATAAAAAAAAAAAATTTTAAAAAAAGAGGATCCCTAAATCTTTGCCTCTGTGGAAAACAAGGCAAAGTTCTATTTCTAAAAACAAAACAAAAACAGTAATTTTTTTAGGAGGAAGGGGAAAGGAAAGGGATATAATGGGATATCTAAAATCTGCCTACTTATAGTCGAATACGTGGTAGTGCATGTTTATAATCCCAGCAATAGCAATGAAGATGGAAGATCAAGTTCAAGGCCACCCTGAGCAACATAACAAGAGACTGTGTCAAAATTCAAGTGCTAGAGATGCAGTTCAGTGGCAGAGCCACTTGAACTTTGCCTTAGGTCCTATTAGCCCCCAGTCTCGCCTCTACAGATTTATTTCCAAAGTGAGTCGTAATCTGCATTTATATTCTAATACCCAAAACTTTATTATTCCTGCAAGTTAAAAGACTAAAACTTCAAATATGGCACTGAAAGGACCAAGGAGATGCCATAACAGCCTGCTCAGACTTCTCTCAGAAATCAGGCCTTAATTTCAGTTTCTTGAGACTTGAGCAAGCAGTTTCTGGGAGGGCCATAAACAAAAGACATAGTCCTTGCAGTAGCTCCCTTTCTGCACATGCTCTGACTGCTCAAGGTTCAGCCAGTTGTTTACTGTCTGGGACCTCTCACCAACTTAGAGGTACATGCATGGGTCAATGTGAAGGTGCAAGGCCAGCCAGTCTCCATGGCAGCTCAAGGACAGAGCCTGGGCCACTGAGTCAGCCCCCACAGCACGTGCTAGGCCAGCCAGCCTCTACAGCAGCTCAAGGACAAAGTCTGGGACTTGTCCAGGCCTGCCCACAAATGATAACTGTAACCCCCAACCAGTAAATTCAGAGGTTACACACCCTCACTCAATCATATGATGCAAAGGCTTGTACCACGCTGCTTGCAGTTTTTCCCTTTAAAAACCCCTCACCCTGAGAGCTCAGGGCTGTCCTCCTTCACCTGGCTAGCAAGTGTGCTGGACGTGAACCAAGCCGGGGCTTGCTTGTTATCAATAAACTCCTGTGTGTTTTGCATCAGATATCAACTCTGTGGTGGTCTTGCTAGGGGGTCTCGCAATGTGACCACAACAGCACCCAGCAAGCACTTAATTTAAAAAATGTTAAGCAAATGAGAGACTCACTGCTTACTCTGCTTAGAGGATGCACAGAATCAAGTTCACCTGTCCATAGATACATTCAAACAACAATAACTTACTAATTTGTTACTGTGTGTTGTATACTAAACTAGGTCCTTAGCAACAAATCAGTGTTCAGTGATTCAGAAAAACTGGAAAGGTAAAGGATGTCCTCTCCCCAGTAAGTCTGACCCTCTCCGCATGGCATCCAGCACACGGTTGCTTCCACTCTGGGCTGGCAGGTGGATCTGCTTACAGATGTTGTGTCTCTCATGAATCAACTGTAGAACCTGATTAAACAAAACACATTGTGGGTTAAGTCTCACCAAAGAATCCTGTAAAAAAGGATACTTCCTACATTCCGGAAAGGGTTGCTATTGTTTTGTCTTTGGTTTGGTTTGGTTTTGTCTGAGAAAAGATTTCACTATGTAGAGCAGACTGTCTCTAACTCAGCGATCTGCCTGACTGCCTCCTGAGTGCTGGAATTAAAGGCGTGTGACACAGTCCTCAGTGGTGCACTCCTCTCACTGTTTCTCTTCAGAGGCTGATTTTCAAACTATTAAAAGGGTGATTGGGAACTGAGGATAAAGCTCAGATAATACACTGACGGCCTGGCACGCAGGAGGCTCTGGGTTCAGTCCTCAGCACTGCAGAAAACTAGGCGTGATGGTGCACATCTGCAATCTCCGCACTTAGGAGAGGGGAAGAATCAGGAGTTCAAGGCCAGCCTCAACTACATAGACCAACATGGACTGAGACCGGTCTCAAAAAGTAGAAAGAGCCAGGCAGTGACAGCACACGTCTTTAATCCTAGCACTCGGGAGGCAGAGGCAGGCAGATCTCTGAGTTCGAGGCCAGCCTGGTCTACAGAGTGAGTTCCAGGACAGCCAGGGCTACACAGAGAAACCCTGTCTTGACAACAAACAAACAAAGAACTTTTTATTATTCAGTAAGAAGACAATCCAATCTAGGTAGAAAAAGTGGATGAATGGATTTAGAGCAAAAATGTATGCTATTTACTCAATGTTGGCACTGGGCCAAGTTTGAAACATGTATTCATTCTCAACAACCCACAGCACTAGGTTATTACTACTCTCTTTTCCCAGATAAGGACAGCAAACTAAAAAGTATCTTTATATATCTACTAGCAAAAGAGTACAACATCTGGGATTTGGATAAATTTTTTTTTCCCTCTTTGACATTTAGGTTTGTTTTTTTGTTTCTTAAAACATAGTCGCTGGGTGGTGGTGGCACACGCCTTTAATCTCAGCACTCGGGATGCAGAGGCAGGCAGATCTCTGTGAGTACGAGGCCAACCTGGTCTACAGAGTGAGTTCCAGGACAGCCAGAACTGTTTCGCAGAGAAACCATCTCAAAAAAAAAAAAAAAGTCATCTTGCTAAGTTGCCCGGACTGGCCTGACACTCACTATGGAGCTAAGGCTGGCCTGGAACTCATAACCCACCTATGTTAACCTCCCAAAGCTAAGATTATAAACATACATCACACACTGGGCAAGAGCTGGATTTGAGCCCAAGTGTGTCACCAGCTACAGTCAGGTGCTTTCCCAAGACATCACATAGCCTCCCTTGCTGGTCTCACTGTATCCCCACCACTACCATCACCATCATGCAGATGTCTACCTTCATAAACTTCTCACTATACAAGTGGTCCCAAGTTCCCATTGCAAAACCATCCTATCGCCTTCCTGATCTTAGGGGACGTTAAGTCTTGCCAAAAGGCCAGTAGTTCTTTTTATTTCCCCAATTTTTCGAAACAGGGTTTCTATGTATAACAGCTTCGGCTGTCCTAGAACTCACTCTATAGATGAGGCTGGCCTCGAACTCAAAGAGATCCACCTGCCTCTGCCTCCGAGTGCTGGGATTAAAGGCATGTGCCACCACCACCCGGCAGGCCACAGTAGTTCTGCAAGGAGATATTGCAATGTAACACAGAACCCCCAAAGCAGGATTCAAGGTCTCTGCTGTATACTACTTCATCCAGAAAATGATATGCTAATAAAATTTGTCACAACACTAAATATCATCAACACTCACCTCATCAGGAAAATCCTTGGGGTGGGGAGAGGTGAAACGGATCCTCATTTCAGGGTCTATTCTTGAAACCTGATCCAGAAGATGAGAAAAACGAAGCCCCCCTTGTTTGGTTTTATAGTTGGTAGTAAAGCCACGGCTGAGGTTGGTAGACACTGCATTATTGAACTGGACCTCTGAATTGTCCCGAAAACTATTAACATTCTGACCAAGAAGAGTCACTTCTTTTAGCCCCTAAAAATAGGAAAAACATGTTGAAAACAAGTTTAAAACTTCTTGAATAGTATCATGTCAAACCACTAATTAAAAATTAGCTCAATCTACCAAGAGCCATGCAAAAACCTGTCTTTAATCCAATAATTTCACTATGGAGTGTCTTTTTTTTTTTTTTTTTTTTCTCGAGACAGGGTTTCTCTGTGTAGCTTTGGAGCCTGTCCTGGAACTCACTCTGTAGAATAGGCTGACCTTGAGCTCACAGAGATCCACCTGCTTCTGCCTCCCAAGTGCTGGGATCAAAGGTGTGCGCCACCACCGCCCAGCCACACTGGAGTATCTTATCTAAAGACTGAACAACAGAATAAAACCTTAAGTACAGAGTATGCATGTCTGTAATCCCAACACTCAGGAAGTAAAGGCAGGTTTTTGTTACCATTTCAATCTCTTAAACAGAGTATATCTATCCTAAAGGAGTTTTGTACTGTAAGAGAGTTAAAAATGGAGAAGAGGGGACAATTTTAGCATTTCGGAAGGTGAAAATAAAGATTTTACAAGCTGCCAGTGGTGAAACTATCTGTGGATAGGAAAGAGACAAGAGAGATACCACAGTCTATAAAATTAGAAAGGCTGCCCTCAGCCTGTCGAGAACATGCTCTGCTGTGGGATGGTCTGTATGTCAAATGCTCTGATTGGTCAATAAATAAAACACTGATTGGCCAGTAGCCAGGCAGGAAGTATAGGCGGGACTAACAGAGAGGAGAATTGAGAGAACAGGAAGGCGGAGGGAGACACTGCCAGCCGCCGCCATGACAAGCAGTATGTGAAGATGCCAGTAAGCCATGAGCCACATGGCAAGGTATAGATTTATAGAAATGGATTAATTTAAGATGTAAGAACTAGATAGCTAGAAGCCTGAGATATTAGGCCAAACAGTTTAAATAATATAAGCATCTGTGTGTTTATTTTATAAGTGGGCTGTCGGACTGCTGGGGCTTGGCGGAACCCGGAGAGAAAACTCTCCAGCTACAATGCTCATTTAAAGAAAACTCGGATAGCCTTACCTGCTCAGAAAGCTTCCTCACTTCCTCCAGAATGGAGGCAACAGGCCGACTCCTCTCCCGGCCACGGGTGAAAGGAACGATGCAGTAACTACACATGTTGTCACAGCCCCGCATGATTGACCTGGGGAAGAAAGTACCAGAACACCGCTAACAGAGGAGCAGTGTTGTCCTAGCATGTCTCCAGCTCTATAGCTCTCTTGGGATTTTTCTTTGGCTCTGGATCCTCCTGCCTCTAAGCTCACACTGGACTAATGTGAGATCTGTCCGTACACAATCATGGAATATGAAGCAGACTATAACTGGGAGACATGTTGGTGAGGAAGCACAGTGGTAAGGGAAGAGGTCAGACTCAGCACTGCGGAGTTCCTACTGTTTTTATAGGTATATTAGTTGGAACTTTTATGTAGAGATTGAAAGCAAACTATGTCTATCTATGATATAAAAGAGACCCTGAATTTAAAATATAGTTTGCATTTCTCATATAATCTTTTTCTTTGAGACAGGGTCTTCTGTGGGTCAGGCTAGACTTAAACTTGTATGTAGCAAAAAACCTGGATGAGGATCTTGAACTCCTGATGCTCCTGCCTCCATCTCCCACGTGTTATGTTTATAGATATGCATCTGACTCCAACTTTGGTTTTCTGACAGTCTCTCAATGGAGCTCTGAATTAATTGCCTAGTATGTGCTGTGGAGCCCAGGCTGTCCTTGAACTCACAGCAGGTAATGTTCCTGCCTCCTACTAAAAAAAAAAAGTTTTTCTATCAAGAAAGTCCAAGGTATTTCCTTAAGGGAAAATAAACACAGAACAATAATATTTATATTTTAAAAGGAGGGTATGGAACATATCCATATGAGTATATGACTGCATATTCAAGGGACAGTTCTAGAAGGATTAAATAAGAATGATTGACATGCAAACCTCTGAGAAATGGCCTGAGAGAGCAGGGATGATGGGTGTGAGGGAGTCTTACTATATCACATGCTGGTTTCTGTATGTTGTACCATTCCTGTTCGAATGCATTCCTTTTCCTTATGTTCAACATAATGAGATTAAACATGCTATTTCAACAGCAAGAGAGAAGGGAGAAGCTCATCCCCAAGTCTCACATAATGACTCACACAAAGGCAGAAGTGGCACTGGGGCTCGTCTGGACTGGCATGATATCCGCATAGGTCTCATCCAGAGAGAGAAGCACATTTGCTGCCTGCTGGCCTGACTCCACAACAGCCAGCAGCCGGGGAAGGTCTCGATAGGCATCTGGACCAGCCAAGAGATCCACCATTTTCTCCCTGTTGAGGATCTCTCCCTTCAGTCTCTCAGCCATGCAGCCTAGGAAGTAAAAGGAACTAGTACCTCTTCCACAGTTCATCTGGTTTCCTGGCTTTTGCTCAGTGCACATGATTTATAACTTGTACTGGAGACCAAGGCACAGAAAACTTCTCTGAGAATTTAGTATTATCCTTCAAACTGGACCTGTAGCACTGAACCCACATCTTCAAATACAAGAAAACCACAGAAATATTCAGAGCAACTCAGTTAAATGCCTGGGGGTGTGGGGAGGCATCCAAAAGCCTTTCCCCCCATTCTTTCCACCATTGCTGGAGATGGAAGTCAGAGCTTCCCACATGCTAAGCAAGCACACTGCATTCCCCGCCCCTCAAAAGCCTCTCAAACATGAACTACCTCTTCTGCAGTTAAAAGTTACCTCTAAGATAGAACGTATTTTACATCAGAAGCCTATTTATAAGTTTACAACTACACTTACCCTTTTTTCTCTTTCAGCCCACAATACTTACTAAACCCATGAGAAGTGATACAAATAATTATGCTGATAAAATTGATACCCCCAAACCATCATTTTACTAAGGCTATAAAATTTTTTTTTTTTTTTGGTTTTTCGAGACAGGGTTTCTCTGTGTAGCTTTGCGCCTTTCCTGGATCTCGCGCTGTAGACCAGGCTGGCCTCGAACTCACAGAGATCCGCCTGGCTCTGCCTCCCGAGTGCTGGGATTAAAGGCGTGCGCCACCACCGCCCGGCCTAAGGCTATAAAATTTTAAAGCATACTTTTTACAAACTCTTTGGAGTGGTGAGTTGGTTGGGGTTTCTTTGTTTGTTTGTTTTTTCAAGACAGGGTTTCTCTGTGTAGCTTTGGTGCCTGTCCTGGAACTTACTCTGCAGCTCAGGCTGGCCTTGAACTCACAGAGATCCGCCTGGCTCTGCCTCTGCCTCCCGAGTGCTGGGATTAAAAGCATGCGCCACCACCGCCTGGCTTGTTTGGGGTTTCTTTAAACATTTTTTGTTTGTTTATGTGAATGTGTGCTTGTGTATGCATATGTGCACAAGAGTGCAGATGACTGTGGAATTCAGTAAAGGGTGTTGGAACCCCTAGATCTGCAATTACAGGCAGTTGTGAGTTGCCCAACACAGATGCTGGAAACCAAACTTGGATCCTCTGAAACCAAACTTGAAAGAACAATACATGCTCTTAACTGCTAATACATCTCTCCAGCCCCATAGTTTTTTGGGTTTTTTTTTAAGATTTAAAAAATATATATATAATTATTGAGGCAGGGATGCACATGAGTACAGGTGCCTGAGAAGAGGGCACTGGATACCTCAGAGAACTTGAGTTTCAGGTGACTCAGACATGGGAACCAACTCGGGTCCTCTAGAAGAGCAACATATGCTCTTACCACTGAGCCATCTCTCCACCCTAGTCCCCTAGTGTAAACTGTCATACTGACCCAACCTAAGCTCACCTGGGATGAGAGTCTTAATTGAGGAATTGTCTAGATCAGGCTGGTCTGTGGGCATGTCTGTGAGGATTGCCTTGATTGTTAATGGAAGTGGGAGGACCCACCCTGGGCGTGGCATCATCATTCATGGCCAAGGCCCTGAACTGTATATGAGTGAAGTGAAGCTAGCCAGCTGAGCAGAAGCAAGCCAACAAGAAATGATGTGCAGCCGGGCGGTGGTGGCACATAGCTTTAGTCCCAGCACCCAGGAGGCAGAGCCAGGAGGATCTCTGTGAGTTCAAGGCCAGCCTGGTCTACAAAGGGAGTTCCAGGAAAGTCAGAGCTACACAGAGAAATGATGTGTCCACTCTCTCTCCGCCTTGACTGTGGGTGTCACGTGACTGCCTTGACTTCCCCTCATTGATAAACTGTAACCTGGAACTGTAAAGCCAAACAAACCCTTTCCTCCCTTTTTGGTCAGAGTGCTTCATCACAGCAACAAAAATGAAACTCAGACATTCCCTGTGAAAACAACTAAAAATTACTCACAGCCAGGGCCAATGAGACAGTTGGCTCAGCATGTAAAGGTGCTCGCAAACAAGCCTGCCACCTGAGTTTCATCCTGGGACCCACATGATAGGAGGGGAGAACCAACTTTTCCGTAAGCTGTCTTCTGACCTCCATTAGCATGCTGTCACCCACACTAGGCAAACAGATGACACTTTTTTTTAAATGTTAAAAAATTATTCACAGACAGACAAAGTGGTACAAGTTTGCAATTCCAGCCTTGGGGGACTAAAGCAGGAGTATGGCAATGCCTCTGAAACCATCTCAAAGTCACATATCAAATACCACACCAGCCAGACCTACATAGCAAGACCATGTCTCACACAAAACAAAGAAGGTGGAAACAACCTAAATGAATCAACCCAAACAACCCAATAAACAGATATAAAAAATGTAGCACCAATATACAATGGCATATTATTCAAGCTTTAAAAGGAAAGAGATTGAAATTGGAGTGGTAGAGCACTTTCCTAGCATGTGAAACCCTGTGTTTAAATTCTAGCACCACTACCCCATTCACAAAAAAAGGAAAAGAAATGTTGACACACACTATAACATATAGTATAAGAATCTTACTGATGGTATGCAAAGTGGCACAGCCAAGTATACAAAGACAAATAACTGTATAAATCCATTCATAGGAAGTACCTAGTATATTCAAAAACAGAAAACAGAATGATGGATGCCAATAGCCAGAGGGAAGGTGAAATGTTAAGTTATTGCTTATGGAGGTGGATGATAATTGTTTAAGTCCCTTGAGGCATGAGTGGCCAGGCCCTGCCCCTAGCCATAATTTCTAGCCCCTCTACACAGGTGGCCAAGCTCCACTCTACAGGACAAAAAAAACCTCCAAGATCAGGCCACAAAATCCCACCCTGGCTACCCTTGAAAGCTCCACCAACTCTATAAAGCCTGCCTCCTGCTCAGTTCTCTGCTGCTTCTCTCCTAGGCAGAGGCAGCCACTCTCCGGCATCTCTTCCAATAAATCTCTTGTGTGAGATTTGTTGTGCAGTGTGACTTTGTGGTATTCCTTGGCTCCTGACTGCCAGGATACCTTTGCCCTCAGAGCTGTAACACTTACAGTAGTAATGGCTGTCTAAGTATGTGAATATACTTAATACCACAGAACATATACAAAAACTATAAAAATGGCAAATTGATGTATACCATGATTATTTTAAGTTTTTTTTCCTTGGGGTTTATAAAATTCCTGAAGGATTTATACCCAAGGGCAACTATAATGACGTGAAAAGGAATAAAACTCCTCTAGCATCTTTCTACATTAATCAGTATAATTGGATACACTAGCTGTGTGTTGACATATCAAAAGTGATTGAGTTAACTATACTACAATGGACACGGTCCACTATGCATAAAGTTAAATATTAGCCAAATTCTGAGACAGAAAGAATGCAGAGATTTCGCTTTTGATTAGAGTGTTTTTTACATGGTGTGCACATGCTACGGTACACATGTGGAGGTCAGAGGACACAGTGGGGTCGTCGGTTCTCTCCTTCTACCATGTGTGTCCCAGAATCAAAGTCAATTCAGTAGACTAGATGGCAAGTGCTTTCCCTGCTGAGCCACCTGGCCAACCCCCCAAGCATTTATTTTTGAAATATGTTTCCTGGCCACCTAGACTAGAACTGTCCAACAGAGCTTTCTAACAAGGTGAAGGGATGTGCTGGATGGAAATGACTGGAGATGCTGTGTAAGCTGGTGGTCCCTAGTCAGCTGTGGCTACTGAAAAGCTGAAATATGTCTGATGCAAAGGAAGAAGTGGATTTTTGAAATTTTATTCTAGATGTGACTATTGACTACCATACTGGTCAGGGCAGACCTGGATTTTCACTTGGGCATGCTTCAGTAGTTCACATGGCAGATGACTATACTGTAAACTCATGTTACCTCCAGACTCCAGATGCTAATCCTATATCTATCACTCTGTACTACATGAACTGCATCAGGCTCTAGGAAGAACACATGACTAACTGAACATCTATTGTTTCTTTCTCTCCTTTTTTTTTTTTAATTTTATTTTTGTTTTTTATTTATTTTATTTATTTATTTATTTTGGTTTTTCAAGACAGGGTTTCTCTGTGTAACAACTCTGGCTGTCCTGCAACTCACTCTGTAGACCAGGTTGGCCTCTAACACACAGAGATTTGCCTGCCTTTGCTTCCTGAGTGCTGAGATTAAAGGCATGTACCACTACCACCCAGCTAAATGCAAGTGGTTAAATCCCTCATAGCAGAAATACCATTATCCTAGTCTTTTGAGGTTTTTTGTTTGTTGATTGGTTGGTTTTTTGTTTCTGTTTTAGGTGTTTTTTGTTGTTTTTTTTTTTGTTGTTTTTTTGTTTGTTTGTTTGTTTGTTTGTTTGTTTGTTTTGTTTTGTTTTTTTCGAGACAGGGTTTCTCTGTAGCTTTGGAGCCTGTCCTGGACTAGTTCTGTAGACCAGGCTGGCCTCAAATTCACAGAGATCCTCCTGCCTCTGCCTCCCGAGTGCTGAGATTACAGGCATGTGCCACCACCGCCTGGCTTTGTTTTAGTTTTTTTGAGACAGGGTTTCTCTGTATAACGGTCCTGGCTATTCTGGAACTCACTTTTATAGACTAGACTGGCCTCAAACTCACAGAAATCCAGCTGCCTCTGCCTTCCAAGTGCTGGGACCAAAGGCGTGTGCCACAACCACCTGGGTACCTATTATTTCTAATGAGCTTCATCTCACTTAATCTTGCAGTCTCTAACAGCAAGTAAAAGAGATGCAAGGGGGAGATATGGCTAATTTACACCCTGGATCCAGGCCTCTAAAGCAGCAATTCTCAACCTGTGGTCACATATCAGATATCCTGCATATCAGATATTAACATTATGATTCATAACAGTAGCAAAATTACAGTTATGGAGTAGCAACAAAATAACTTTATGGTTGGGGTCACCACAACATGAGGAACTGTATTAAAGGGTCCTAGCGTTAGGAAGGTTGAGAACCACTGATCTAAAGGAAAAACTCTAGGATCACAAGTCTCAAAATGGAAAAATCTGCAAATGAATGTATACCTAGAATCCCAATCCTCAGAGGTACCCGGGAGCGTGGTCTCTTTGTCTTCAGGGCTTTCAGCTGATGTAAACGGTTCCAGATGGTCTGCTCAGCCTTCTCCCTGCAAAGATCCAATGAGGCAAAAATGAGCAAATAGGAGAGCAGGTCAATGGGAAGAAAATGAAAGTCACCTGAGTCCTTCACTAAGGGAAGGCACATAGAGGTAAACTGGAAAAGCACAACTTGCTATCATTCTCTTGTCCTCTAACAATATCCTCCCTACACATCTCAAAATCCAGACTAGCCTTTAAATCAAACTCAAAAACGACATCCTTCACAAACCCTTCCCCAACTCTTCTGTGACTCTCTTCCCTTCCAGCATCCTCTACCTTAACTCTACTTCTCCTGAACCTGGAAATTTGTTTTTGTTGTTTCATACATTCTGTAGCCCAGGCTAACCTAAAACACATTATGTAGCCTGAGCTGTCCTCAAACTCACAGCAACCCGTCTTTCTTGACCACCCAAGTAGTGGGATTACAGGCATAAACCACCACCCCAGCTTGTATGATGTTTAGTTAACTTTTTCCATCAGATGTTAGTGGGCCACTTATACACCTGTCATAGTCCCTATATGAGACCAAGCTCCTTGAAGTCTAGTTTTATGGAAGAAGATTCATTTCTGAATCTCTCATAACAACCAGCTCAGTGTCATTCCACAGAGGTCCCATAAAAAAATGTGTCAGATCAAGGAGTTAATGTTAAAGGCAGCTGTGGAAATAGCAACACTAACATGTCTTCAACAACAAACAACAACAAAAAGAGGATGTGTTTGCTTCTTTTAAAATTCATTTTTAAAATCTGTTATGTGTATGGGTATTTTGTCTACATATATGTACACTACCACCCATGTGCCTAGTGCCTGTAGAGAGATCAGATCCCATGGAACTGGAACTACAGATGGTTGTGAGTTGCCATGTGCTTGCTAGGGATTGAGCCCAAGTCCTCTAGAAGAGCAGCCAGTGCTCTTAACTGCTGAGCCATCTCTCCAGTCTATCACTTTTGAGGAACTTCCTATGATCAAGTACTTCCTGGCAAGCTCTGAAGATGTCACTTACATCTTCTCAGAATTCTGTTTCCCAACCACTGGCTACACCTCAAATCAGATGTATATATTATAAGAATATGCCATTAATAGCCAGAAAACTTTAGGAAATTTGGGAGCTCAGCATTGTGAATTTAAAAATTCTATATAATGTATAGAGCTTGGTTTGGGCATTTTTGTGACTACTGTTTACTTTTTAGACAGTTTCACTGTGTAGTCCAGGCTGGTCTAGAACTCACAATCCTCCCAACTTCTGCAGTGCTGAGGTTACAGGGGTGTACTACCATGCCCAGATAAATGGGTTTGGTAGGAGAAACAACTTCACAGAATTGCTACTGTGAGAATTAAACTAATACATCCATGTATATTGTACACATGGAACCCAACACACAGGACATGCTCAGCGAATGTCAGCCAATTGCATCAATACTACCTCTATTACTGAGAAACTCTCAACTCTCACTGACCGGGAGTCACTGGTTCATCTCCATAAGTAAGCCTCCTTGACATGGTTACACACAATATATTTATTCCCTATGGAAAGAACAAATCTGTACCTGATAGAACACGTGACAAGAAGGATCACATCAGCCTAAGGGAAAACAAGAAAAAGAAAATTACAAGCTTTGAAATCAGCCTTGCAGAATCACTACCATGCAGTCCACCTGCTTTTTTCCTATTATTATGGTATTTTAACCATTTTTAAGGGGACAGTGCTATAATGAGAATGCTTGAACACTACAGTGCAACCATCACCACCATCTCCTTCCAGAACTTCCCAGGGAAAGCTCTGTACCCATTATGCACTAATTCCTCAAGCCTCACCTGCACTCTCCACAAGGTATCTTTGTTTGGCTCTGGTTTGGTTGGGTTTAGTTTGGCTGCTCTGGAGACACAATCATGCCCTATAGTCAAACGGCCTCAAATTCTAGATCCTCCTGCCTCCACTTCCCAAGGCTGGGATTACAGACACATGTGACCACACCAAGTCTGATAACCCCTTTCCTGAAGATGAACAGCATCATGAAAGCTGAAAACAGCTGGAACACCAGTATATGCCAGTCCTAGGGTACACAGACTCAAAGGAACTAACTCAGCAGCAACACTCTCTCCCTAAAACTCATTGCATCTAAGAACCTGCACCAAGGCAGGTAGCCCAGGCCCAGGAAATGGGGAAGCAGGGAATGCAAGCACCTCTTGAAGGTTGCTGGTCCGCAGGTAGCCGCTCTTCTGTAAGATGGACCAGGCTATCTCCGTGTCATTTACATTCATCTGGCAGCCATAGGTCTCGAGGTAGACTGTAATGAAAGGTGGACTGAGTAGACAGAGGGCCACATGTCTTGGGCCTCCTTCCCAAAGCCCTCAGAAACACCTGAGGCAACTCGTTATCCACAAAGTCCCCTGTTGTCCTTGTTAGCCACAAGGACCCTAAAACACCTTCAACTGACAGGTGTACTCCCAAATTAATAATAGCCTTTCAGAACAAAGGAAATACAACATCGTATTCACACACCTATTATAAGCAGGGTATTTAAAAATATAGGGGAAATATGCTCCTTAAGAAATAAGGAAATAGGGCTGGAGAGATGGCTCAGAGGTTAAGAGCACTGGCTGTTCTTCCAGAGGTCCTGAGTTCAGTTCCCGGCAACCACATGGTGGCTCACAACCATCCGTAATGAGATTTGGTGCCCTCTTCTGGCCTGCAGGTGTATATGTAGATAGAACACTGTATACATAATAAATAAATAAATCTTTAAAAAAAAAAAAAAAAAAAAAAAAAAGAAATAAGGAAATAGCTGGGCATTGGTGGCACATACCTTTAATCCCAGCACTCAGGAGTCAGAGGCAGGTGGATTTCTGTAAGTTCAAGGCCAAGCTGGTCTACAGAGTGAGTTTCAGGACAGCAAGGCTGTTACACAGAGAAACCTGTCTTGAGAAAACAAAACAAAAAAAAAAAAAAAAAGGAGGAAATAGGGCTACAGAAACAAGAACAGGAAAGACTAACGATCATTTTCATCTATCTGAGGAAAAACTAAATTCAAGGCCCCATATTACAGTCCCCCCTCTAACAAAGAGCTTCTCTAGCCTCTGAAAGCTGCAGCACTGACTAGAGGGTACAAATACCACAGAATAAAAAAGAAGGCAGCCATGGTCATACTATGAAGTAAAAGTACAAATTTACACCAAGTTGCAAAACATGAATTTCACACTGTGGTGGGCCCTTTCAAATCTTATTTCTAGTTACTACCCCATTACCACCAGCAGGCTATTATTCCAAATGGAAGACAGACATAGTGGGTTCATACCATAAAGCCAACACATGGGGGGCCACAGCAGGAGGATTGTCATGAATTGGAAGCCAGCATGAGCTACGCAGTGGGCTCCAGGCCAGCCTGGGCTAAAGAGACAGATTCTTTCTCAGAAAAGCAAAACAAGGGCTGGAGAGATGGCTCAGAGGTTAAGAGCACTGACTGCTCTTCCAGAGGTCCTGAGTTCAATTCCCAGCAACCACATGGTGGCTTACAACCATCTGTAATGAGAGCTGGCACCTTCTTCTGTATACATAATAAATAAATAAATCTTTAAAAAAAAAAAAAGAAAAGCAAAACAAAACAGGAAACAGGAGCTGGAGAGATGGCTCAGTGGTTAAGGGCACTGGCTGCTCTTCCACCAGAGGTCCTGAGATCAATTCCCAGCAACCACATGGTGGCTCACAACGATCTATAATAGGATCTGATGCCCTCTTCTGGTGTGCAGGCATACATGCAGGCAGAACACTGCATATAGCTTTTTTTTTTTTTTTTTTAAGCCAGGGTCTTACTATGTACCTCTGGCTGGCCTAGAATTCATTATGTAGACAAGGCTAGCCTTGCACTCACAGAGCTCCTCCTGTCTCTGCTTGCCAAGTGCTGAGATAAAAAGGTGTCTACCACAGGCCTAGCCAATTTTTTTTATATATTTTGGAAGGTGGGGGGCACTTATGCCATGGCACCAGTTCAGAGGTCAGAGGACAATCTGTGGGAGTCAGCTCTCCCCCTCCACCATGTGGGTTCCAGGGATCAAACTCAGGTGATCAGACCCGAGGGCAGGCAACTTCTGAGTCATCTCGCCAGCCCCAAGAATAAAATTCTAAACCAGAAGTGATGGCAGACATCAGTAATTCCAGCCATTAGGAGGCTGAGGCAAGAGGATTATGAGTTTCAAACTAACCTGGGCTACACAGCAAGACCCAGCTTCAAACGGGAGAGGGCAGGGTTGGGTAAAATGGCTTAATGGATAAAGGCTTCTGCCACCAAGCCTGATGACATGTGGAAGGAGACACCAACTCTCACAGTTGTCCTCTGACCTCCACATGTGCCACACACACACACACACACACACACACACACACACACACACACGCCACACACACAAACACATAAATGATGAAATTTAAATGGAATTTTAAAAATTGTAACTAGAACACAGATTATAGTGTTTCCAAAAGTAACCAAAGAGAGGAGTCCATTTCCCGTGCAGAGCTTTTGAGTTCTGTTTTCTTTTTGAGGAGCTGAGGATGGAGCTCAGAGCTTCATGCAGGCCAGGCAATCACTCTACCAAACAACTCTCCCCCAGCCCAGCCTCTGAGTCTCTCTACAGTAACGCCACTCGGCAGGGTCTGATGATTCTATAACTAAGCAACCTGCCCACACTGTTGACTCCCCAAAGCCACAGTGTACTAAGAGAACAGCTAAAGCAGTCAAGCCGGAGGCCGCGGTGGCGCACGGAAGGAAGCCAAGGGGAAGAGAGAAGTAAAACTAACCTTTTCTCTGCCTTCCTAGGAGTTCATCCCCCGTGAGATAGGGGGGTGGGTCCTCCACTTCTGGAGAAGATGGTTTCTCTTGAAGAACCGAAGCACTTCTTAAAAAATGCTGAAAAGTTGGTCCGGTGGCTAGCCTGGAGCTGAAATCCTTCTGAACACCTTCTGAGCTCTGCCCCTCTGGACTGAGACATGAAGTGGTGGGGACACTGCTATGTGCCCTGCAGGTCCTGAGCAGCGGCCAGGACACAGAGGTAAGCGGCCCCCACTTTAGAGACCTCTGTGCTTGGAGGACACATTGTAAAGGCTGCATGGCACCTGTGGTCCCAAGTCTGCAAAAGAGTGAGACACACCAATACTTACAGCACACTCTATACAGGTACTGCTCTGGACACTTCCTCCTCACCAAAGCAGAAGAGAGCATGCCTTGGGGTGGGGAGCATAAGAAGTACTGAGACATAATCTCAGTATTATCTTCAGCTAGCCTGGAACTCACTATATAGTCCAGGCTGAGGGGTGGGGGGAGAGTATGGTGATATTTTATTTGTACTGAAATGTGATTTTATTTGTATGTTAATAAATAAAGTTGCCTGGGGGTCAGAGCTAATAGCAAGCCATAGCAGACGCTAGGCGGTGGTGATGCATGCCTTTAATCCCAGCAATTGGGAGGCAGAGCTAGGCGGATCTCTGTGTGTTCAAGAATACCACCAGCATGGAGAGACACGCCTTTAATCTCAATACCAACCATAGAAGACCTGGAGGTCTGTACAGACAGGCAGTGACGAGGAGGTCATGTGGTTGGGTTTACAACCAATGAGAAGGCAGAACAGAAAGTCAATAAAAAGACAGATACACAGGAAGTAGGTCTCTTGCTAAAGGGAAAGACAGCAGCGACAGGGAAGGGTAAGAAAGGGTTTTTAGCTCTTAACTACTGCTCTGACCTCTTGGCTTTTAACTGAATTTGGCTCTGTGTTTCTTATTTAATAAGACTGTTCATCTACAGTGGGGGGACTAGGTTTTGTTTGTTCATTTTTTTTTTTTTTTAGATCTTGCTGTATAGTCCAGCCTGACCTCAAACTCTCCTCATTCCTCCTGCCTCAGTCTCCCAAGTACTAGAATCGCCAGCACAGACCACCATATCCAGTTCAAAGGTACTCCTGATAGCTTACCTTAACCCAAGCATGGTAAACCTATAGTCTCAGTGATTTGGGAGGCTGAGGCAGGAAGATCATTTGAGCCCAGGAGTTCCAGGCCTGCATGGACAACCTAGCAAGGTCTCTCACGCTGGGCATGGTAGTGCATGCCTTTAATCCCAGTATTTGAGAGCCAGAGGCAGGTCGATCTCTGTGAGTTCAAGGCCAGCCTGGTCTACAAAGCGAGTTCCAGGACAGCCAAAACTATGCAGAGAAATCCTGTATCAACAAAAAATAATAATAAAAAAACTCATAGTATCTATAATTTACAGATAGAAATAACTAAAGTAGGGCAGTGAGATGGGTAAAGCCACCTGCCACAAACCCTGACTTGACCCACACAGTGGAAAGAAAGAGCCGATTTCCATAGGTTGTCTTCTAATCTCTACACACACACACTACGGCACGCACTCATGTGCATGAGCACACAAACAAAAATTAAATAAATAAAATGTAATTTTTTAAAAAAAGGAGAGGGTGTGATAGTGCACGTCTTTGATCCCAGTGCTCAGGAAGCAGAGGCAGGTGGATCTCTGTGAGTTTGAGGACAGCCTGGTCTACAGAGTGAGTTCCAGGACAGTCAGGTCTATTATATAGAGAAACCCTGGGGGTCGGGGAAGACCACACACTAGCCTACTCTCAAGTGTCAGAAAAGAGACTTTTAATGTGAGCTTTAATTTTTTTCACTATATTTTTATTTTCATGCATACATGTGAACCATCTTTTCAGCCCGGGTGTGAGCTTTAAAATCATCTACTTCTGCCCTTTAATTGCTGCATGACCACTTTTTGCAAGTCAAATTCCCACCTCTGGACTACAAATGTCATATCTATTTTTTGTAAATAGTAAAAACAGGACTTAACCACTTGCCAGATGTTATGAAAATCACACATTAAAAACCCACCCTGAAACTGGGCAGTGGTAGCACACACCTTTAATCCCACCACCAGGAGGTAGAGGCAGATCTCTGTGAGCTCGGGTCCAGCCTGGTCTACAGATTGAGTTCTAAGACAGCCAGAGCTACACAGAGAAACCCTGTCTCAAAAAACTAAAAACAGGCCGGGCGGTGGTGGCGCACGCCTTTAATCCCAGCACTCAGGAGGCAGAGGCAGGAGGATCTCTGAGTTTGAGGCCAGCCTGGTCAACAAATCGAATTCCAGGACAGCTAGGGCTCTTACACAGAAAATTCCTGTCTCAAAAAAAACAAAAACAAAAAAAAAACAGTCGGATGCCAGGCACTGGAGGCACACACTTTTAAGCCCAGTTTGAAGTCAGCCTGAACTACACACACACACACACACACAAAAAAAAAAAAAAAAAAAAAAAAAAAAAAAAAACTTTAAAACCCCAGTGGGTAAAAGTGGTGGCTCAAGTCTGAAGACCTCAGTTAGAGCCCCTGAATCCACCGTGAATGGAAAGAACGGTGGAAGGAGGAATGACTCTGCTCACCACACGCTGTGTACACACACACACACACACACACACACACACACACACACACACACACACACACACACACACACACACACACTACTTTTAAAGAGGTGGGGAAAAAAACCCAAACAGGCGTACTAAGACTTCAGCAACCATTCATTCACAGTCCACACCTCTTTTCACAGCATGGACCTTAAGAGTCAATGTGATTGCTGCCTAGCGGAGCAAGCCTGGGATCCGGGAGCCTTCTTTGTGAGCGGTGGGATGGGGCAGCGATCCTCTCGGTCGAACCTGGTGGGAGCTTAAAGGTTTGCACAGCACAGCGCAGGGCGGAGTTCTTAATGGCAGTGGAAAGGGGCGGAACCACCTGCCACATCCAAGCACGTGATTGGGCAGATACTGGCGCTGGGCGTGGCGGGGGCTCCGCGCGCACGCCCACCAGAACCCCGACAGCCACCCAGCAAGGCCGATCGACCTCCATCTCTGCTTCCCAAGGGGAGGCGCTAGGGCTCGGAACGACCCGGTGACTTGGCCCAGGACGTACGGAGGTAGGCAGCGGGACTGAGCTACATTCGCAGGTCTCCCGCAAGGCTGCCCGCCGCCCAACACCTAGCACCTTCCCCTAGTGCACCCGGCTTTTTCTGGACGCCGCGATCCCGCCTGCTCCACGGCGCGTCACCTGAGCAAAGCCACTTCAAGTCTCTCACCTCCCACAACTGCGAGGTCCCGCGTCCGAACCGGAAGCTCTGTCAGCTGGTGTGGGTCTCTCTCCGGCGTCCTCCGCTGCGCGCCTAGGCGTGCAACTTCTGTTCCGCCGTGACTTCCGTCAGCGGTGTTCTAAGGGAAATGTTTCCTACCGGCCTGGTAGACTCAGGCCTTAGGCTTTGAAAAAATATATGGGTGTGAAATCCAGTTCTTTATATGCTAACCAAAAAATTCTAAATAAGGCTTAAAAACCAGGTTGGGCCGAGCGGTGGTGTGGCGCACACCTTTAATTCCTTGGATCTCTGAGTTCGAAGCCAGCCTGGTCTGCAGAGCGAGTTCCAGGACAGCCAGGGCTACGTGGAGAAACCCTGCCTCAAAAAAAACAAAACAGATTGGGCACGTGGGCAGCCTCAGAGTTTGCATCTGCCCTCTTCCCAAGAAAATGAGGGATTCTTAGGAGTGCTCTGCCCCTGGAAAGTAGGGACACTGCCCTGTCACCCATTAGCTCCCTCCTGCCACATGCACTCTCCTCTCCTCCCCGCCCCAGGCCCTTTAAGAAAAGTGACCCATGGGGCTGGTAAGATGGCTCAGAGTGTAAGGCACTTGTTGCCAAGCCCTGACAACCTGAGTTCGAATCCCCAGAACCTACAAGGTGAAAGAGAATTTACTCCTGCAGGTCCTCTGACCTCCACACATATGCCATGGGACATACAACCTTCCCCAACACACACGCGCACACGCACGCGCACACACGTCTCGTGCAGTAATTCCAACACTCAGGAAGCAGAGCCTGGCAACCTGAGTTCCAATCCCCAGAACCTACAAGGTGAAAGGCGAGAACTGACTCCCGCAAGTCCCACACGTCCTGACTTCCACAGATACGCCATGGGATATACACATACACACATACTAAATGTCTCCGGGCCCAGTAGCATACTTCAGTAACCCCAACACTCAGGAGGCAGCAGCAGGCTGGTCTTTGTGAATTCAAGTCCAGACAGAGCTACCTAGTAAGACTCTGTCTCATAATAAGTAAGTAAATAAATAAAGGTAAACAAGAATTTAGAGAAAAGAGTGAAGAAGGGTTTCTGTGGCTAGCTCTGAACTGCCCACCTTTCCTGAATCTCCCAAATGGCCCTGGACAGCCCTGTTGTTCCTCACCACTTCTTTACCTATTCCTGTCACCTGGCAGGGCCTTGATGCTCTCAGCTGCTCTCCCTTCCCCGTGGGCCATGCCTCTAGCCAAGGTGCTTCTGTTATGCCCAGATCGCGACCAAAGACCGAGGGTGTCCAGAATGCAACCGCAAGGTTTATTCTGTAGATACAAGCCTAGGCAGGGAACTCGTTCCTACACCCAATGCAGAGAGGCAGGGAGGAGTTGCTCTTTCTTTGTGAGGCTAGCTATTTAAAGGCAAAACCGCAAGCCCTTCAGGGCGGTTGGGGAGTTGGGGGTTTGGCACGGGTGCAACTCGGATTGGTTTATTTTTATTTTTGAAGGTCTCTGTTCTCTTTTAATTGGGTGAGGGTATGTAACCTTTGAATTTACTGGTTGGGGGTTACAATTATCATTTTGGGGGCTGTCCAGGACAAGTCCCAGGCTTTGTCCTTGAGCTGCCATGGGGCTGGCTGGCCTTGCACATGCTAACTGTGGGGGTTGACTCAGTGGCCGAGGCTCTGTCCCTGAGCTGCCATGGAGGCAGGCTGGCCTAGCATGTTCACATTGACCCATGCAAGTAGCTCTAAGTTGGTGAGGGGTCCCAGACAGTAAACAACTGGCTGAACCTTGAACAGTCAGAGTACATGCAGAAAGGGAGCGACTGCAAGGACTATGTCTTTTGTTCATGGCCCTCCCAGAAACTGTTTGCTTAAGTCTCAGAAAAACTGAAATTGAGGCCTGATCTCCGAGAGAGGACTGAGCAGCCTGTTATAGCATCCGCTTGGTCCTTTCACTTCTTCTCCCCAGACCTAACTTATAGATTCTATACTCAGGAAAATGCTGAGAGCAGGCAGACAGACCAGAGCCCCGAGGTCAGAACCACCCTGTGTAGCATAGGTGTTTTGCAAGCTCCACCATAACACCTAGTTTTAAAGTGTAAACATTCCATGTGGACAGTTCAAATTCCACAAGCATATAGCATGAGTAACAGAGGAGAGGCGCCCCCTCCTGGTCTCTTCCGGTCACTACTCCCACCAAGAGCCTGGATTTGGGTGGAGGGAAGGAGTTCGGCATTCCCAGTCTTCCTCTTCATTCTGTTTTGTTTTGTGTGTTTGTGCGGGAAGCTAGAAGCACCTCTGTATGGGAAGCCAGAAACCCCCTATCCTCCAACTGAAGCTAGAGTTACAGGCGTTGTGAGCCACCTGATGTGGGTGCCGGGAATCAAACTCTAGTACTAACAGTGCTAAGTGCTCAGTACTAGCTATCTCAGTGGCCCTCCAACTGGTTTCTTTAATATGTTAACTCTGAAATCTCTGTGTAAGGCATTCTGGGCCTCACTCTCCACCTCATTCTCCTATTTCAAAGATATAGCTAGTGCTATGGTCTCAATGCGGGTGTCCCCCTCAAATCCACATATTGAAACTGTACCCTTCAAGAATAGGAGGTAGGGTAATTAAGTCATAAAGGCACAGCCCTCATGGATGTAGTTAGCTTATTAAAGACACCTAGGCTAGGCATGGTGGCACATCCCTTTAATCCCAGCACTCTGGAGACAGAGGCAAGCAGATCTCTGTGAATTTGAGGTAAATCTGGCCTGTACATATCTAGTTCCAAGCCAGCCTGGGCTACAGAGTGAGACCTGTCTCAGAAAACTTCTTTTTGGTTTCATAAAAAAAAATCTATGAGATTAACTCATTTCACACACTTGAAGGTGAGAATACAGAAGTGGTCACACACAAAGGCTCACACAGCAAACAGAGCGGGCCGTGTTTGGGATCCACCCATAGTTCAGTCTGATCCCAAAGCCCTATTCTTAGCACTGACTAACTCAACCTCAGACTGGCTGGGTTCCCGCTGGGGCTGTGCTGCTGACGGCTGGATAACCATGGCCAACTAGCCACTGCTGACGCCCGTGTCCTTGCCTACAAAGTGGCGACTGTGTGGTGAATACACTGTGGCATGGGGGTGAACGGGATGAGGAGGGGCCGAAGGATCAGAAAAGCGCCCGGGGACTGTGGCAGTAGTCCAGAGACCAACTGTGGCTTCCTAGGCCAGTGTGGGATTTGGGTCAGGGAAGTTTTAAAAATAATCAGAAACAAAACCCTATGGTTCCAGGAGCTTGGGAACCTCATATTCTTTATGCTTTAGGACCTGAATGTGCTAAGATACTCACCCGTCTTTCACGGAAGTCTACTGGTTGGTGAAAGTTCTGATACTGAGCACTCACTCACTCCCCCTCTCCCCTCCCATGAGTGGGGTGCGCTTTCCTTCTCTGTCAGGCAGATGACCTGAATGGTCTATGTGACTGACTGTGACTGTTCTTCGCACTCCACTGACCTACCCTAGGGCAAGCATGCCCGAGGAAGCCCAACCAACAGCCAGGGGCAAAAGTGTTCTGCTCAGCCCAGTTTGAACTAGGAAAACTGTAGTCGATGCACAGCCAGGAGCATGAAAACAAAGGCCTGTTGTTGTAGCCATGGAGATTGAGCCGGGTTGGTTTGTGTGTTGTTGTGTGACAGTATTACCTCAGGAGAAGCTGGCTGAAGTATGTTTCTCTAAGCTGTACCTGCTTCAGTGTCTCCTCCTACAGAAATGAGACCAGGAGAGGTCCCACCATCATCTCGGCTCACTCCCTGGGTCTGACCAATTGGAATCACGCATGTGATTGTGGAAGATTTTGATAGATTTCTTCCAGCTGAGGATAGAGACCTGTCAGCTTTACATCACCAAGGACTAGCACAGAACAGATGTATCCTAGATACTTCTAGGTGAACTGTGGGTTGGTGGGTGCATGAGTGAGATGGATGAGTAAGCAAGACTGGAGAATCTTCACCTACCTGCATCTCCCTATTTCTTGGTGCCTAATTTCCAACCAAGCTAATTAAGTAACTTCATGGGACAATTTCCTCATTGGCTGAAATTTCATAAGAGACCTCAGATAGGAATAAATCCAACTCAGATAGGAATAAATCCACTCTTAGATTTCTGACCCACAGAATGGAAGACATAATGAGTAGCTGTTGTTTTAAGCTGCTAGATTGCAGGGTCATTTATCACAGAGCACAGATAAAGCCTGAATTGACTCTGAGACCCAGTTCTCCAGGAGAAGGTCTCACTACTTGGTCTGGTCCCTCTTGGGACTGCAGAGTCACCTCGGAGTCTAAATGTCAAGACACAAACCACAGACATGGAGCCAGGCTGCCTATGTGCTCACAGGCTGTTTATTAGCCAAGAGGAAGGAGGAGAGAGAAGAGAAAACCCAGACGCCCCACGGGGCTCAGGAGAAAGTGAACAGGAAGGCTCCTCTTCTTCCTCTTGCCACTGACCCAGAAGACTCCAACCACAGAGATCTCAGGGGTGGCTTGGGGCCTCCAGGAGGCCTGGCAGCTCTGCTGTTGGCTGGGGACAGAATCCCCACAGGGGCAGGTCCCAGGCTTGGAATGGCTTCTGTGTACACAAAATATCTCTCTTCAAAAGGCACTGGTGGAGGTGAGCAGTAGGAAGGCTGCCCCATCACAAGCCAGACCCGCTGTTTCAGGTCTGAGTCCTGTTCCCCAAGACCAAGCCGGCCTTCCTCAGGCTGGTCTCTGAGACCCTTGTTTTCCTCCTCTCCCTTCCCTCCGCCCAAAGATGAGTAGGCAGTCGGCAGAAGGACAAGTCAGGCCACAGGGTAAATGATCCTCTTCAGGGCTAGTGCATCTGACAACTTCTAGGCCAAGAGCCCCAAGCGGGTGACTTTGGCCGAAAGGAAGGAGTGGATGATAAAGACCATAGTTTTGGGACACGAATGCAGGTCCAGCTGCTGCAGAGTAGACAGAGAGAAGGATCAGGGGCTCTTTCCAGCCTGGCCTCCAGGAGAGCATCCCCACCCCCAGGATGCAGAGGCAGCCCTCCACTTACGATCTCTCCTTCAGCACCCCCAAAGTCCAGGAAAAGGAGACTCGTGCCATCGTCTGATGACATCTGAAGCTTCTCGAAGGGCTGTCGGAGCAGCACAGCTCGGGCTGC